TCACCGTTTGGGGTTGGGGCCGGGAAGATGGGAGTCAGTGGGCAGCTGGGTGCTATGTCCCTCGTGCCTCTCTGTATTCCCCGGCCAATGTCATCATGCCAGGAACCCCAACAACAGACACGGGATGGCTGGTCTCAACTCGGGAGCCTCATCACAGCTCCTTATGCTGCAAACTGGACCCTCCCCAACAAGGAAGTCCATGCATTGGAAAAAGTAGGGGCCTTGGAATCAGGCAAAGCTGGATTCACTTAGCAGCTGGGTGGCTTTGCACAAATCAGTGAACACCTCTGTCCATCACCCATCAGTGGGCATAGAACACTCTTATTGCAGGTAGTCTTGGAGCTTTACCCTCCACTGGGCACACGGTGAGCCTTCAGTAATGGTCACAGAGCTGAGGAGTAGAAAGATCTGGTGAGGCCAGTAATGGAATGGGTATTGGAGGCTGGTTGTTGCAGCCAAATCAGTTGTCCCAAGTCTGGGCCCTGAGGAAAAGGGAGAAATAAAGGGTGACATTGGAACTGTTTTCCTGAGGAACACAAGGATTGACTGAGATGACCAAGTGTGACTGTCTGCTTCTGCAGGCTTTAGTCAAGAGAGGCCTCTGAGAGACTCAGCTAATCCCCACCAAGTCTTATTCATTGTCATCAAGTTATGTTGCACCTCTTTGAAAGCTATGTATTTTTAATTGTTTTTTATTTTATTTTTATTTTTTCCTACAGAACATGGTCTTCCTAGGTGGTCTCTCTCCCATCCAAGTGCTAACCAGGCCCAACCCTGCTTAGCTTCTCAGATCTGATGGGATCGGGCACGTTCAGGGTGACATGGCTGTTGTAAACTATAATTAACTGATGGTTTTGTTACCTACCTGTGAACTGGCCTGCATCCTGTCACCTTTCACAAATTGTCAACTCTTACAAAATTTTCAGTTCCAGTTTCCTTCAATATCTGGCCAGACCTCTCCTAAATAATGTTTCTCATTTTTCCCCTTCTTTTGTCACCTGGCGTCACTGACCTAACACCTGACCACGCAGATCTTTATCTGGACTCTAGGTTGCCTGGAAGCTGGCCTCCCCGTCCCCAGAATCTGAAGCATTGCAAGGTAGATCTGAAGACAAAAGTCTTCAGAGGACTATTTCTTAGACCCTGCTTTGCCCCCTTCAGGAGATCTATGATTGTCTGAATTGTTCAATGATGTTGCATATTATTCATCTCGAACAAAAGTGGGGACTGAAAATCTTGAATTTTTCTTGAGTCTTGTGATTCTGCAAAACAACAAAGATTAAGAAATACCTTCACACCCCTCCTCCCCCGCCTTTGTGTTCTGGGAAAGGACTTACTGCAAAGAATCTCTCTTCCCCATGAGACCTAGATAAGACTCAGAGATGCCCTCTTGTTTATCCGGGGACAAGGACAGACACAGACTCTCCCAATTCCCATTCTTTGCCTCATAAATTATTTGCTAAATTGTTTTGTCCCCACTGATCAATTGGAACAAAATGTTTGTTAGACAAAGGTTAGTTCAGCTTCTCTCCTTGGTTCAGCTTCTCTCCTTCCCCCAGGCTCATGAACTTTGGTCCGCTGTCAGCCTAAGTTAAACATACAAACCTTCCTTAATATGGGCTGGCCTCAGGGTAAACCATTCCTTGGTCTATTATCATGCTGTCCTTTCAACCCGCTTCTCCCCAACCCAGTTCATTCCAGCCTTGTTTACTTCTTCCTATAAAATTCTTTTTTTTTAAGATCCTGACTATGTCCCAGGCTCGTGAGTGGAGACAAATAGCTGTAAACCAAGAATAAGAAAACCCAACCAAGCAGTCATCACTGAATATTCAGATAGCTGGAGAATGGACTCTGGAAAGCTGCCCCAGGAAAGCATCTGGTT